CTCTAATAATCATCTACTTTTGTCTTGCTCCTTCTTAAATTTTTATCTCCTTATATTGTAAATCAACAAATTTTGGCCGATGAGAAATAGAAACCTCTCGATTAGAGAGGTTAAGATGCACGTTATTTCCGACGTGACGCGCAGTTTCACGTCAAATTTGAAATCGATCGGTATTTTTGCTCTCACATGCATCCATTGCTCAATCATGCATCATTTGCCTATATGACAAACGTTGGCCTGCGAATTACTTTGGCCGGTTGGTACCAAGCGGCGAAATCAGCGAAATTAAATCGCCAGCGATCATTAGTTGATTTTAATACAGGAATCGGATTTTCTGGCCTTTTTGTAGTAATACATCTACATGGACCTGGTGAGCCAATGACGACGCCGAATGCATGGTTGCCTGTGGAGCACATTACATAACTTTACAGTCTCCTAAAATACCTATCCTGTCCGACGGCAAAAGAGGCTGCAGATTTAGTTTTTCTGCGCGTCGACGGGATGTCTGTCCTGACGTTTCCTGGGACCGGCGCTGACTCTGCCGATCACGGGCATTCTGGACTCGACGGGTTGTCTGCCCTGACGATTCCGGGGACCGGCTTAGACTCTGCCGATCACGGGCGTTCTGGACTCGACGGGATGTCTGTCCTGACGTTGCCTGGGACCGGCGCGGACTCTGCCGATCACGGGCGTTCTGGAGTCGACGGGATCTCTCTTCCGACGTTTCCTGTGACCGGCGCTGAATCGCTCGTTCACGCTTATTTTGGAGACGACGGGATCTCTCTTCAAAAGTTTGTTTATGCTGACGCATCCTATCACCTATTCGGCGTCTATTCTAATTTAATTTCCTCCTCGTCTCCCTATTTCTTTCCAAATCTCCCTCTACATCAGGAAGTCGTACACATAATACGACGAATATTGGTACGGTACGGGACAGATACAGGAGCCGGTACATATTGTGGACAGCTGTTATCAAGAGTACATAACTACACAGTGTAGTTATGTACTCTTGCTGTTATGTACAATCCTGTAGAGCCTTTGTAGTCACAGATACGGGACAGATACGGGACAGATACGGGATAGCTCCAGGCGTGACACAAACAAACAAACACACAAACAAACACCAAATTAAAGCTGTGTGGACCCTGGCTAGCGCCAGACGTTACTGAAGTAACGTCTTCTGCATAGCTACGGGAATAAAGTTCTTTGAGTAGTAGCAAGGGTACAGAACCCCCAGGTGGTTATGTACTCTTGGTAGTAGCAAGCGGGTACAGAACCCCCAGGTGGTTATGTACTCTTGGTAGTAGCAAGCGGGTACAGAACCCCCAGGTGGTTATGTACTCTTGGTAGTAGCAAGCGGGTACAGAACCCCCAGGTGGTTATGTACTCTTGGTAGTAGCAAGCGGGTACAGAACCCCCAGGTGGTTATGTACTCTTGGTAGTAGCAAGCGGGTACAGAACCCCCAGGTGGTTATGTACTCTTGCTACTAGTAATAGTTTTTAATAATGTTGTGAGCTGCCTTGGCTTTGGAGTGAAAGACTTGTCAGCGCCTTCTAGGTCCAGCCCGGTCCCATAGCTCAGTGGTTAGAGCATTGCTCATGACAAGCAAGGTCCCGGGTTCGAGTCCTGGTGGGTCTGGCGTTTTTTCTCTTTTCAGGCAGTTCACTTCCCCAATTGATCCTTTGAATAATAATAATAATCTGGTTGGTGGACCGTCTAGGGGTGCGTTTGGTTGGTACGATCTAGAACAGGATCGAACAGCTGGTGCACATGGAGCAGCCTCATGCCAACCAAACGGTACTCCAGAAACAGAGCACATTTTTGTGGAAAAATGTGCCAAATTAACAGGTTACTTGGTGCATTCTTCAAAATGTGTATGGGTCATGTAATAGTCACACACTATCTCTCTCCCAACTACCCCGCACACAACCTCGTTGCAGACCAGCCAACACACACGGCTCTGGGTTGTAATGAATAGTTACGATAAAGGCTTAGACTAAAGTTAGAGTAAAGAGCAAAAACCGCCAACCGGCAACACCTTGATCAAACCATCAAGAACCTAATGTCTCTCCCAACTGCCACTACTAGAACCACTTGTCACGCATGCAAGCTTAGCATTGTCAACATTATTGGCGCGCGCGCGCGAGCGCGCGCATGCGCACGGTAAACCGTATTTGGCGCGCAATAACGTCATGCTAGGAGGTAATGAATTAATGATCATTCATGACACAGACAAGTAAACATGCATGAGAATGTCCACACTGCACACAGCAAGGAACAACAGCACACAGCACACTGAGATGTCACCTCAGGACAGTCACATTGATTATTACAGTCACGATGGTCACTTTGTACGGTACGACGAAACCAACCCAAAAGCGTATGCACGTGATCATCTGGGACCAAAATCGATGTTCCCGCCAGGTTTCACTGTGAAAAAGTGAAACTGCTCGGTCTGCTCCGGCCTCGAGGCCGGAGCAAGCAGAACATGTTCTGGCCGACCCAGAACAGGTGCAGTCCCAACCAAACGCGCTGTTCTGGTGAATCCTGTTCTAGTTCGTACCAACCAAACGCGCCCTAATAGTCAACTCGTAACATTAAATTCTTTATCATTCCTGTTACGCATGGATGCAATTGGCTCGCTAACCGGTTGACAATGGGAAAGACCCAAGTGCCACACATACTGATGGCACTTGGGTCTTTCTCCCTCCCCAGGGGACCAACCACGGTTATCTTTTTGAAGGACAACGGCCTAAATTGTTGTCGTTGAAGATCTGCTTGAAAGCCTTCTCTCAAAGCAAATGGATGCTTATCGGGGAGTGGAAGGGAGCGAGGAGGGATGAAATAGAGAGCGAGGAGGGATGAAAGAGAGAGCGAGGAGGGATGAAATAGAGAGCCGGAAGTGAAGTACATGTGTGGAAAACCGAACAGGAAAAATAATGAGGTGAAAAGAATGAAGAGCAAGAACTTGATTGGTGTGCGGCAAGCGCTGTTCGTGGGCAGCACACACGCGCGCACACACACATACACACACATACGTACACACACACACACGCACGCATCTCTCTCTTTCGCTCCCTCATACACACCCTCTCGCTCACTCTCTCTCTCTCTCTACTGACACGCGCAGCCGCCGGGGAACGGCACGACGAGCTTGCTGAGCCGCACAACGCCGGCGTCCTCGTAACGATACGACACCCCCGGCGGAATCAGCGCGTACAGAACCCAGCGGTCCAGCAGCTTGCTCTGGTCGTGAACACATGTG